ACTGGAGCGTAGAGAAGCCAAAGCACAAGGAAGAATTCAAGATACTAAAGAGCTGAACAGAAGATTCCAAAAGGCTGCTCGGAATGACAAAGCAAATCATTTAAATATGTAGATAATAAAACTCACACATGACCTTACCTTTGTAAGATAATCCATTTTCAAATTGTCGATCATCATATTTTTCTGAGATAGTTCTATTTTCAGCAACTGAATGTTATGAAGTAATTCTTTCCTTTCAATTAGCTGCCTGGTGATTTTTATTTTACCATCTTTCTCGTCCGATGAGGAGATATCATCTGTAGGTATTGTTGTTTCTAAACTAATATCTTCAGATTCTAGAGAACTAGAAATGTTCACTTTCTTTAACTCCTTAGAAAACTTTCGAGACATCTTTATTGTTATAAAGATAAAATTCAGTTTCAACCTGTAGATAAAAAATATATTAGGTTAAATCAAAGATTTAACACAACAGAAAAAAAAACACACACCCAATATTAGATATTTTATAGTCATTACGGAATTAGGGAAAATCAGTATAAAGGACAGATTGCCAAACTACATAAATTACAAAATTAAACATATTCTGATTAAACCCTATAAATCTGGGTCCTTTTATGAATTAAAAAAATCCTAGTTCTTGGGCACAGGGGCCACTGGCGGCCTAGTGGGTAAAGAGTTCTGCTGCAAATTCAAACACAGGCAAATCCAGGAGTTGCTCCATGAGAGAAAGATGGGCAGTCTCTTCCTTTGTGATTTACAGCCTCTGAAAACCAACTGGAGGGTCAGCTAAGCTATAGGTCAGTTTTGCGTTGAAGGACAGAGAAACAGATCCATTGAGATTCTTCCTGGGTACAGGAATCATTTCTGGAGAAAACAAAGAAATGTACAGTTGTGAAGATAAAGGACAAAGCTATTACTGAAATTAGTCAAGAGTGCTACTGATAAAGGCAATGCAAGATCAAAGAAAGATCATTTCTGAGTTGGTGAAAGGAATATTATACATAGGTAAGGCTTAGAACCTTCAAAGACAAGGTGACTGGGGCAATAGGGACAGATGTGTCAAAGACAGTGAGTGCAGGGTTCACAGCTATTGTTCTTGGTGTTGCTTGGAGTCTTAGTTGACAAAGGCACATAACAACAACTTAAAAACAAAAACAAAAAAAAAGCATGCAGATTTGGTATAGAGAAAACTTGCCCCTTGTCATCCAGCTGATTTTGACTTATGGAGACTCTCCATTTGACTTCCTAGACTGTAAATCTTAACTCGAGAAAGCGGTAAAACAACAGACTTCGGGGCAAAATCTTTGCCACTTTCACTAGTGCCTTCTCCGACTTCCTAAACCTAAATGCATCCCACATTAAAAGCAGCCTTCTTCAATAAGATCCTTAAGGTCAAAGAATGTTTAGATCTCATTCTAAAAGCGAACTGGGCATCACTATTTTTAAAATAGAGAAACACTGTGATAAAACACTTTTATAGGCTAATACGGACAGAGAACGGGTTTCAAAACCATTTGCATTGGGTGGCTATGACTCATAGTAGACTCGAAAGCACATAACAACAATCACAAAACCGTTAAAGTGTAAGAGGTAACTTCAAATATTCTAAGAATGTTTGCAACTCTTGTTTTAATACTACACAATTATAAGAAATCACTTATTACTCGTAAATCTGTGCACGACGATAATACAAGAGATATATATATTCCACAAGAATGATCACTTCTCTGTTTTCTAAAGAGAAAAGGAGGAAAAGTGACATAAAGGATAGGCAATGTCTCTTAGGCTACAGAGGATCAGAAAAAGAGCCACACTTGGCAGCATCCAATGATTCCATGGCCCGCGCAGGAAAGAAAGGCAGATCGAAAGTCGCAAACTACCTCGAAAGCTTGAATTACTCTACATGGAAGACTGGAGCAAGAGCTATCTTAGTCGCTTCCAAGGCAAAGGCAACTCGAGGTTGCAGTTCAAGTTGCAGCTCCCCAGCAAGACCTCCCCGAGCCGTTAGAACTCGTAACCAAGACAACCATTCCCGCGCCGCAGGTAAGGCGGAAGAAGGATGGCGTGCCAAGCCCACGCCGACGGAACTTGGCTTTCCAGGGTCCACCTGGACTCTGCGCGCAAAGCACACTGGGCGCTGAAGTCCCCTGGAAGGCCTCTTCCGGCCACGGGCGGAAAAGGTGACGGGCTCCGCCCATCCACCCAATGATTGGACGGTTCCTTACCTTCGTCCAATCTTTACGCACTTTTGAAGAGCCAACCAACGTCACTCTCGGCGTTTCCCCGCGTGCCACATGTACCGGGTTAGCGTCTAGTCGTGCGGTAGTTCCTCACTTGAATTCTGCCGGAAGAGTGTTGCCAGGGATCGGAATTCCGCGCGGCGAGACAACATGCTCAAGTCCAAGACATTCTTAAAAAAGACTCGAGCTGGCGGGGTGATGAAGATTGTACGCGAGCACTATTTGCGAGATGACATCGGCTGCGGGGCGACGGGATGCACTGCGTGTGGAGGGGCGCACGAGGGTCCGACCCTCGAGCCACAGCCCCAGGACCCGACGAGCAGCCTCTGCCCCCGGCCGCACTACCTGCTACCTGATACCAATGTGCTCCTGCACCAGGTGCGTTGGAGGGTGGACGAGTGACAGGCGACAGGCTATATGGCCCCGCCAGGCCACTCTCACTGGTGACAGATGAGAGAACAGGTCCAAAGAGGAGCGTATTAGCAGCATCACTCATCTGGAATGAGACAAAACTTGGAACTTCTGTCGTTCAGTCTGAGCTTCCATTTGTACTTTTCCTTGTTCTTTTCATTTCTTTGGTTATAAGAAGTTTGGACACATTATACTCTCCTGAAGTCCCTTCTGCCGTGGATTTTAAGAGTATAGAGAATGTCTACAAAGGAAAATAACAATGGGTTTCTTTATTAACAGACTTAATACCAAATTTTAGACTTATTCTACGTGTCCCTTTCTTTAATAGATCTGAAATGTTGAGTAATCAATTTCCTTTTTGATATGTAATGTTTATACTTGACATGACATTTTGCATATTATTAAAAGAAAACAATTTGTTTCTTTCTGTTTAAGATTGACGTCCTGGAAGACCCTGCCATCAGGAATGTCATTGTGTTACAAACAGTTCTCCAAGAAGTGAGAAATAGAAGTGCTCCGGTTTATAAGCGAATCCGAGATGTGACAAATAATCATGAGAAGCATTTCTATACATTCACTAATGAGCACCACAGGTAGAGGGAAATTCTGTTAAATTTCAGAAAACTATGAAATTAGCTAGATGGGGAAGGTGTGAGGGGAAAAATTTTTAACTCAGGAGCTATACAGAAGACAGTACCAAGTGAAGGAGCTGGGATAACACAGGAGATTGATTTCAAATGCCAGAAAGTCCTGGCTTTTGGACGAGTACTGAAACTCCATATGGGAGTTTCCATATTATATGAATAACCAACATTGGAAAATGTATGAATTTGTGAGGGGGAGGTGTAAATATATAGATTGAGGGTGGGGTGCAGGTAATACTAAATTTCTTATTTTTTTTTAAAGTATGTATGTTTTAAGTCTTTTTAAAACAATGTTTAGATTGTATGTAACATAAAATTTGCTGTTCTAAACATTTTAAAGTATATTTTAGTGATATTGAATACATTCACAATGTTGTGCAAATATCCCTATCATTCAAAACGGTCATCACCCTTAACAGACACACTATATCAGTTAGGGTAATCTCTTATCCTTCTGTCTCCAGAAATAGATATTCTGTGGATATTTCATGGAAGTGGAATTAATTATACAACAGTTAAATTTACACTCACCCTACGTCTAACATAAATAAACCCTGCTCGATCCTGCGCCTTCCTCATTTATACTTTTATGACTGATTTATTTCATGTATTCTCCAATATTGTAGCATGTATTCTAATTTTATAGCTGAGAATAATCCCCTTATGTATACATACCTAATTTTGTTTATCCATTCAACTTCTGATAAAAACTCACTTGATTTCCAGATTTTGGCTGTTTGTTTGTAATGCTGCAGTGAACATTGATGTGCAAGTAACTCACCCCTTTCAGTTTTTCTGTGTATATCCCAAATTGAAATATTATTTCTGTAAAGAATATCTGTAAATGTCTTGTAAACATCTTCTTTTTCATTGCAGAAAATTCCTGTTTAGGGTTTTTTTTTTCCCCATTTTTGTTTTTTTAATCTTTGTTTTAATTGTGATTTTAGTAATAGTTTACAAAACAAATTGATATTTCAGCCAACCTTTCATACACATTTTGTTTTAGGGTGTTAATTACAATATCCACAGTATAATCATCTTTCTGCTTCCTTCCTGTTATTCTCATTTCAGCTAATCCTCCTCTTGGACCCTTTCCTGGCTTCTGGGCCTTGTTCTTGGGCACATGATTTCCCTTTGACTTTATATGGTTGGTCATTTTAAGGACTGACTGTCTTCCTGATGTCACCACTACATAGATTTGTGTTTGGTGAAAGACTATGTTTTTGTTGAACATGGTCATCAGTTTTCTAATCAAGGGTTAGTAGCTTTGCTAGCTCAAATACAAGGAATAAGCACTTGCAGTTATTGGAGGTGATAGGAAGAATCTTGGGACACCTAGGCAAATCTCTTGTTGCATAATTATTGTCTTTCATGGCCTTATTATTATTGTTAAATGTCACTGAATCAAAATTGACTGATCCTCCCAACGGATTTTTAGAGGCTTTAAGTTACAAGGGAAGAGATTGGCCATTTTTCTCCCATGTAGCTGCTGTTGTACACAAACTATTGACATTTCAGTTGACAGCACAACTTCTCATCCACTAGGCCACCAGACCGCTTTTAGATGGTCTTAAAGTATTAACTCCGAATTCACTTCTCTTCATCCAGTTCTGACTCATTGCAACTCTGTATTGGGTTACCAGCACCTACCTAACAGAGTGAGACTGTTTCTTTCCAGCCTAGAGCCAATAGTGGATTCAATCTACCAGAGATGCACAGCCTTTTTTCTAGGAGGTCAGCATGCTACTTAACACACCATCAGAGTTCATTTAAAGCATTAACGTGCATTTAATGGTGAATAAAGTTTTTAAAACAATAACTACAAATAACAAAAATGAAATACGTATTTTTGAGCATTAGAAGTCAACAATGATAAAAAAGTATTATTGATTATTGAGGTTAAATCTGATTTTGAAAAAACATTTAAATACATTTTCTGGGAGATTTTTTAAAATTTAGAATTAAAAGGATATGCAATCCAAAAGCACTCAGTTTGAATCCACCAGTTACTTCAGTGGTAAAAGATGAACAGTCATGTCTCATACAACTTAACAGCCTCTAAAACCCTGCAGGATTATTATTCAAGAGTTGATTCTGACTTGGTGGCACCTAACAACATCTGTGTCTGGCCTTTTAATCTTTGAATAGCCCTTATAGCTTTCGGTAGGTAATTAACATCTATTGTCTACTTAGTAATTGAATTTTATGGTTATACTTATCTAATCATATTTGTAATTTTTAGAAATTGCTATTAATTGGCAGTTAGAAAGTATCATTATAATACTATCATACTTTCTTTGAACAACAACTATATATCATTTAACATCCTAATCGAGATTTTGAATTCTGATCTTGAATTTTTCTCTTTTCCCACCCCCCATCTAACATCATTTTCTTCTCCATGCAAGTTGATGCTTTTACAGACATAACTGATAGGATATTTATTTTCTCTCTCAGGTTTAAATCTGAACATATTCAAGAGAAAAATGCCATTCTACATTATTGATATCTTTGTTTAGCTTTTTGCATCATTTTAAGTATGATCATTTTTCCGGGAATGCAACTAATATAAAGCAAAGATGATTATACTTTGTTTGGGTGGAAACTTGAGCAAGAATTATTTACCATATTGGAAGAATGTCACTAATGATAATAACATTCCCCGTGGGAAAAACCTTTGATTTTTAAGTTTAATTGTTGTTAAGTATTTATATCCTAGTAGTTTTAAACATCCCTTTTTCCCAGTGTTTTTATTTCATTTTTCTCTCCATTCAGAGAAACGTATGTAGAACAAGAACAGGGAGAAAATGCTAATGACAGAAATGATCGAGCTATCCGAGTAGCAGTAAAATGGTACAATGAACATTTGAAGAAAATATCAGAAGAGAATCAACTGCAAGTTATCTTCATAACCAATGACAGAAAGAACAAAGAGAAGGCAGTAGAAGAAGGGATACCAGCTTTCACTTGTAAGTCTAAACATAATAGTCAGTAGCGGTTAGTCTGAGCATGGCAGTCAGTAGTACATTTTGTAAATGGATATAAAACTTTACCACAGACCATGTTCAGATGTTCACTTTACTTGTATTTGTATCATCTTATGTAACTTCATAGACATTTTGCATTTTTTGATTTCTCAGAGAGTTTTTAAATAACTAAGTTTTGTTGCCTATTGTTGCGTACCAATGAGTTGGAACTGACGCATAGTTGATCCTCCAGCAAGTTTTCAGAGGCAGTTAATTACATGAGAGGAGATTGCCCATCCTTCTCCAGTGAAACAGCTGGTGGATTCGAACCACATGCCTTGGGAATTGCAACACAGCCAGCTTTATTACCATTAGGACACCACAGGTCCCTCGTTTGGGTGCCTTGTTGTTAAGTGCCATTGAGTCAAGTATGACTCACAGCAACATTGTGAACAAAAGATCTGAACCCTGTTCCATAACTGTTTACGACGTGGATGCTAATCCTGCTTCCAGGTCTGTCTTACTCTGGGAGCTCTATCAAACCCTGTCCATCATAGGTAACAATTACAGCTTTTAACACACCAGTGGCACAGCTTTCAATATCATAGTAACTCCCCGTTATCTTAGTACAGTAAACTGACAGACAAGGGCTGTACCACTTAGAACAGTGTTCTCCCCAAACACATTTAACACCATTAATAGCTGTTAATTTTCTCACAAATTAATTTTGCTTGTCAATGAAAGCTCATAGACATGCTTGACTCATTTCCTCTACTTAGACATCATAATCAAATCAGTGGTTCTTATTTTCTCTTCCTCCAAAACATAATTGACAGATACAATGTCATAGTTACTTTTTTTTTAACTGAAATATGGGTGAAAGTTTATAGAGCAAACTCGTCTCTCATTCACCAGTATATCCACATTTTCTTTTATGACATTAGCAGTAATCCATTCTATGTTACAGAACTCGCTCTACTTCTTACCTGGGTTTTCCATTTCCATTCTTCCTTTCAGCCCCTGAGCTTTGTTTTTTTGGGCAATTGCTGCTTTTTTGCTTTTGTGTAGTTGATTTAAATGAGGAGTGAGTTCCTTGTGAACATTAGGTTTCACTTCCTAGATCTGTCTGTATTAAAGGTGTTATCTGAGGGTAGATTCAGTGCCAGGTTTGAAAAGTGTCTAAGGGCTACAGCCTCAAGGATTTCTCCTGTCTGTATTAGACCAATAAGTCTGCCCTTTTCATGAATTTGAATTTTGTTTTTTTTTTCTCCTCTCCCTCTCTGTCTCAGGCAACCCTCTGTCATGATTCTGATTAGACTAGTACATAGTATTAGCAGGCACCATCCATTTCTTCTGGTCTCACAAGGTATTGGGAGCTGTAGTTCCCATATTTTTCTTTGTAACGGGTGAGGATAGAACTTCACATTTATCAAGAAAGGTACCAATTTTCTTTTTTCAGGTGAAGAATATGTAAAAAGTCTCACTGCTAATCCTGAACTTACAGACCGTCTTGCCTGTTTGTCTGAAGAAGGGGTATGTTTGAGTTTGTTTTGTTTTGATTCTGGGAAGTGAAAAAATAAATCTTTTGGGATATTGACTTGTAGGTACCAAATTAGAAAATTTAAGTATCTAATATCTTAGTTATTTGTCTAATATTTTACTATCTTAGTTATTTGCTGTTCCAGTAACAAAAATGTCATCACAATATTTGAACTTAAGAGTCTAAATTTTAGGAGCAAGTCATTCTTTATCCTTTTTAGCTCCTTTTTGCTTCAGGTGTTTCTTGGCTGCATGTGGCTTATTAATAACTCCCTACACAATCTTCCTGTGTCTGTCTGTCCCGCTCCTTTTTATAAAACCATCATTAAAGGGTTTGAGATTTACCCTACTGTAGTAGGGTAACTTCATTAACTTAAAAGAAAACTCTTCTTTTCAATTAGGATCAAAATCACAAGTATAGGAATTAATATTTAAAGTTATCATTTTGGGGAACTTCTAGCCATTCAATCTTAATGGCTAGAAGTTGCAATTTTAATAGGAGTAGGATTATAAACAACAACAAGAGTACATCTGGTAGACTGATCAAAATACCATGCTTAAGAACTGATTATCTGATACCTTATTGTTCATTAATAGAGCTCAACAGCCCAAGTAATGTCTGGCATATGGTCGCACTTTGTTGAAAAAGTGCAAGATATGTGAATAAAGTAGTAGATGGCTGACAGATTATGTGACATCACTTAATAATAACAACAGTAAAGAGGACTACAAGCTGAGAACTTAATAAAGAACTCAATAAAGAGTACTATCAGCAGAGAAGTCTTAAAAAGGAGAAGGGGAAGTCATAGATGATGTGGAATAGGAAAGAATATGAGGGCTAGAATTTATTCAGTGTACTCTGGTAATCTAGTGGATGAAGTATTGCCTTACCGATCCAAAGGTGGACAGTTCAAATCCACCAGTTGCTCCATGGAAGAAAGATGAGCAGAGTCCTTCCATGCAATTTGTGGTCTTGAAAACCTTCTGGAGGGTCAGGCTTGAGGCAATGAGTTGCATTTGACTTATGAAAAGTGGTTTTGATGGGGTAGGTCCAGGAGTCTGACAGAAATAGGTAAAAGAATGGATAGAGAATTTAAAGACAGTGATTTTTTTTTTTAATTAATTTATTTGTGTGTGTGTGTGTGTACCGTCAAATCAGATCTGACTGGTACAGGAGGAGACTGCCCCTCCTTCTCCTGCAGATAAGACCATGATTTTTTTGCTGTGTTGTGAAGGAGACAAAGGATCATGAGACACAAATTGGTATAGTCCATAATGTGTTGTACTGCTCAGCAAAAAATGCTGAGTCATCTCTAAGAATCATGAGACTGATTGAGGCCTATCTAACTATGGAAAGCACTTCCTAACCAACAGCTGTCTTCTATCCTTAGAAAAAATGGCCAAGAGGAAAGAGAGAAAAGCTGCTTTTGTATTTTCAGTAGCTCCAGTCATCTCATGGAATTGAGATTTTGAATTAGTGTCTAGATAAACACCTGCTCACAAGCTCGCCAAGCTACGCACATGTTCATTTTGGGAGGGATAGAGTATAGGGACACATAGTTTCTTAGTAACACATCTATAGCTAATCTTAATGTAATTTTAAAAATGGAAATATTTATGTAAGTTACCCTAAAAATGGGAAGTTTTTCTTTTGTGTTTGTAGTCTGTCAAATTCATAAAAAAAATGTTTATGCTATGATGATTTTTTTTTCCATTTCAATTACCTGATAGTGGTAACTAATTGTGTAATAAGTGTTGAGGAATATTACTAACTGCATCTTTAATATGTTTATTTCACAGAATGAAATAGAAAGTAGAAAAATAATATTTTCAGAACATCTCCCCTTAAGTAAGCTACAACATGGCATAAAATCTGGCACATACCTTCAAGGTACATTTAGAGCCAGTAGGGAAAATTATTTAGAAGCCACAGTGTGGGTGCATGGCGATACCGAAGATAATAAAGAGGCAAGTTCCTTATACAAACATTCTTTATATTCACTATGTTGTTTAATAAATTTCTGAGAATTTAAATTTCACTTACCTTCCCTATTTATAATCACAGGGTGTCATAGATAGTGGTTGTATTAATTCCTTTTTTAAAATTGCTTATGGAAGAAAAGAACTGTTAACATATTTTAGGTGAATAAATATCTAGAGGCCATTTAATTGTAAAAAATGGATGCTGCTTTATATAGCCTGGTTACTTGTGGTAAATGGCATTTGCATACCATATAATGGTTTTAAAGTTCTCCACACATTTTAAAGTAAATAGCTGCTATTTGTGGAGTGTTCACTATTTGTCAAGTACAAGTCTAACTGCTTTAAATGCTGCTGTTTCACATAATTCTTAACTTTGCCTATAAAAGTAGGTATTGTCATTTTCATTTTATCAATCAGGACTCTGAAATTCAGAAAGAAGAAATAATTTTCCTAGAGTTTCTTAGTACTAGTGTTAAGGACATAGAGGCCATGAATACAACTTGTATTTTTTTTTCTTATGTTTTTGCTATTTGATACATTGATATTGAGAAACCAAAATGTAGTAATGGGACTCCATGTGTGTGAATATCTATAAGAGAAATAGTATGCATATGTCAAGGAGAATTAGTGATAACATAGAGACATCGGAGTACAGACAAACTTTCAGTAGGATACTTTCCCATTATTTGAGCATCGAGAAAATATTTGAGCATGTGCTATTTGCTGTTTTCTACAGATAATCATACAAGGACTTAAAAATTTAAACCGAGCTATTCATGAAGATATTGTGGCTGTGGAGCTGCTCCCCAAGAATCAGTGGGTAGCACCATCGTCAGTGGTTTTACACGATGAAGGTCAAAATGACGATGACTTGGAGAAAGAAGAGGAGCGAGAGAGCATTGTATGAAAATACGGTTTTTTCCCACCTGCATAGCTTTGTGCTATTAACATGTCAGCTCTGAGGAAGCTGAGCGAGGTTGGGTAGTTACGGAACTGTGGAGTAAAATGATAATGCTGTAGGTTTAATACCTGCCGTACAACATAGTTGAATTTCTTCCCTCTTAAGCTTTTTAGGTTTGGAAAGGAGTGGTGTCCACTTCCTAAACAACATGCCTCTGGAAACTCTATGAACTTTGATAAACGTTGATAGTTGTAGAGGGGCCCTCAGGCCTTTTGTTCATAGGGTCGCTATGAGTTATGCTTGACTCGAAGGCAACAACAAGTGTTTTAGGTAGTTACCCTTTAAGTTAATGTCATATTTTGCTTAAGTAAGTGGACTTAAAAAAGATTAACTTGAGTATGAAGCTGTAAATTGTTGTTATTGTTAAGCGTCACCTACTTACAGCGCAGAATGGCTCTATAAACAACATATCTAAACATTACCCTATTAGTAATCTATAGAAAAAATTATATATATGATCTGATTTAGAATAATAAACAGCAAATTTTTTAAAAATGCTTTTATGTTAAAAATATCAGTATAATAGATTAACTTCAGACTTCTTATAATTGTATATGACCTTATTATTACCATAATCCTCTATTTTAAGTATTATGATGAAAATATTTTTAGTAAATTCTTACTAGTTAAAAAGCTTACCTGTTAGGACCTTTGACATTATTCCTCAAAGTTATAATTATAAGGGTAACGTAACTGATTGGCATTGGTACTTCTTTTTCCATAGATTATATTCAGTACTCAGATATGTTATTGTGCTTGGAGAGTCCAGAGAATAAGAGAAGTTTAGAAGTGAAACATGAACAATGTACCACTTATTTCTAGAGAGCTCTGCTGGTGTGATCTGTAGGGAGTTGCACTGCTGACCCAAAGTCTGGGCCTCTCTTGTGGGAATAATCTCCCAGCAGCTCCACAGGAGAAGGACGGACATTCTCACACCATGTCTTTCAAAAACCTGCTAGAAGGCCCTCTATTGAGCTGGTTCCGACTTTGACTGCATGGAGTTTAAATTTTTATAATTTCTAATAATAAGCACTCTTTATTTAGATTCTTACTGTGCAAAGAAGAACTTGTAAGGTTTCATCTCTTTTTCATGAGTTAATAAAGGCTAAAAGGGAAGTGAAGAGCCCTGGTGGCATAGTGCCTGTTGTGTAGGGCTGCTATCCAAAAGGTTGTTGACAGTTCAAATCCAGCAGCTACTCCAAGGAGAAAGATGAGCTCTCTTCTCCCTTAACCTGTAGAAACCCAGCGGAAGAGGGTTGCTGTAAGTCAGAACCTGCTGGATGGAAATGAGTAAATACGTGAAAGTGAACTAGTCAGCCAGCACCACACTTCTGATTAGTACAAAGTAGTTCTAAAATCTCGGTGCCTTTTAATGATGGTTGGTGAAGAATACCAAATACACCACGGGCTATTAAGCGCATACACATCTGTTTAGAAGAAGTGCAGCCTGTATATTCCTTAGGGGCAAAGAGGGTGATAGACTTCATGTCACATACTTTGCTATATTCTCTAAGGAGACCTTAGAAAAAGATATCACGCAGGGAAAAAAATACATAGTCATCAAAGTTGAAGACACCTGAGGTGAGATGCCATGACACAGTGTGTCAAACAGTGAGTTTAAGCACAGTGGAGATTGAGGGTGGCCCAAGATCTGGCAAGGTTTTGTACTGTTTATGATTATGAACTCTATTATTAGGGAGCTCTGATGGCTTAGAGGTAAGGAATTGTGCTGCCAACCCAGAGGCACAGGGTTCAAATTAGCCAAATGCTCCACAGGATAAAGATGGACATTCTCCTGTGCGATTATAACTGCCTCTAAAAACTAGCTGGGGGTTCAGCTATGAGGTTTTAGCTTTATGGTGCATAACAGTAACAACAGTTAATAATAGTTTGCTATACTCTTGCCTAGAATTTTTAATCAAGATTCTTTTGCTTTATGCCATAATTGAATTCCTGAATATATCAGTATCCATTTAAATGCTTTAATTCTGGAGGAAAAGTACTGCATAATTTGAGGAACGATAATTGGAGATTCTTATTTTTACTTTTAAATCTCAGCTCAAGACTATTGTAAGTGAGAACATGATGAAGCCTACTGGAAGAGTGGTAGGAATAATAAAAAGGAACTGGAGGCCATACTGTGGCATGCTTTCCAAGTCTGATATTAAAGAGGTAAGTAAAGAGCCAGTGGTAAAGAAATGTCATAAAAGATGTTCGAGATGGTAAGCATTGAATGTAACGTTGTGATAGAGACTGCCCCTTATTCTGTCCCTCTAATATTTTTCTTTTACTTCTTTTCTGTAGTCAAGAAGACATCTCTTTACACCTGCTGATAAGAGAATCCCCCGAATTCGAATAGAAACAAGACAGGCTTCTGCATTAGAAGGACGGAGAATTATTGTTGCTATTGATGGTTGGCCCAGAAACTCCAGATACCCAAATGTAAGTTTAAATTACTACTTTATTATTAAGAGATTTTGTTATATGCTTGTAGATAAAATTGCTTTCTAATAAAAATGGAGTCTATTTTGGTTTAGAATTAGGTGCTGAAATTTGAAAACTTTTCATGATTCTACCTAGTAAGTAGTGAATCCTTTTAAAAAATTAAAAAAAAAAATTCTAGGAAGCTGTGGTGGAAGCTGCACTGCAATCCCAGAGGTGAATGGTTCGAATCCACCAGATGCTCTGCTGAAGAAGGAGGGTCAATCTCCTCCTGTACCAGTCAGATCCGATTTGATTGTACACACATGAAAAAAAATAATAATAACAAAATAATTCTAAATGACCTAGTTACACTAAGACTGCCAGACTCATTTTTATTGGTCACAATTGGTATCTAAGTTATTTGCCATTGTGTTGCCTGGGATTCATTCTGACCCTGGGCACAGTAGTCTTGAGCCATGCCCTATCTTGAACCAGTCTCACTGTTCCTAACAAACTTACCCCCATTATACCACTTACTATGTGTCAATTCCATTTCATCCAAGTTCCTCTCTTGCACTGTCTGTCTGCTCTGCCAAGCAAGATGTCCTTCTACAAGGACTGTCCCCTCCTGGCAGCATGCCCAAAGAATGTTAGACAGAGTTATAAATCCTTATCTCCAAGGAGCAACTTGATTGAACCTTCTGTAGGACAGACCTGTTTGTTCTCTTGGTTGTCCATGGTGTGTTCAGTACTCTTCTCTCGTACCACAACTAAAAGGCATTGATTCTTCTATCATCCTTAGTCATTGTCTCTCTGATACATAGCAAGTAATTGCAAAGACCATGGCTTGGATCAGGTGCACCTTAGTCTCTAAACTGACTCTAGATTGATTTCCTCCAGTCCTGATGTCACATTCCTCCTCAAAATGTCCAGCCTCCTGAATGATCTGTTTTGCGTATAGATTGGAAATTTATGGTGATAGGAATATACTTTTCATGATTTTGAAACATGCAGTGTGTTTTCTTGCTCTGTTCTGAGGACTGCTTCCTAGTCCAAGTACAGGTTTTTCATGGACACAATTAAGTGGTCTGGGTTTCCCATTCTTCTCAAGGTTATGCACAGTTGTGATCCACACAGTCACATGTCTTTGCATCGTCAGTGAAACACAGACATTTCTCTGGTGCTCTCTACTTTCAGCTAAGGTCCATCTAACATTGACTTCTTAAACAGTATCAAAATAATGCTAATAAATACATTTTTAAGTTACAATATTTGAAACACAGGTTGCTGGCTTTAATTTCAGGTGTTTTGAGTTAGTTAGGCATTTTTCCTCCCTGTCTGGTGGATTGAACATTAAGTCTTTGTTGATGTAAAATTTTGGTTTCTAGCAGCAGTCCCTCACTACCTTATTATTCAGTTTCTTTTTCTTTTCTTTCTTTTTTTTTTTTTTTTAATTTAAATAGCATTAAGTTTGTTACAAATATTTAGTACTGGCTTCCCATATTTCCCCCTTTTGTTCTTATCATAATTATGTTATCTAGATAAGCATCCTTTATACACAAACAAACAAATAAAACAAACATAATAAACTCAAGTACTTTCAAAAATCTCCATATGATCAGAAGGATTCAGGCTGAATATTCCTTGAAAGTTTGTTTTAATTGTCCCATTGTCACAGTCCTTGTCAAAACCAGTTCTGATTAATCTCCTTTGTCATTGTGTCCTTTGCCATTCCCTATCACTCCTCCCTGAGAGAGATTTCATCCTGATTCATAAGGAAAAGGGACAGCTTATTCTCTTAGCTACTTCCTACTGAAAAGGGACACTGTAGGTTTCAGGGTGAGGATCTTCTCTCACTACTCTAAAGGGCCCCTTTGGCAATAGGAAACATGTAGACTATTGTGGAGATTGATTTTGGAATTTAGATGCACTCTTATCAGTTGTGCTTAGCCATACATATTCATATCCTTGAAGATGCATCATGGAACTGTTGCAGCCTAGAAGACACAAATTTAACAAGTTAAAAGTACATGAGTCAAAAATCAAAAGCAATAGTATTCCAAATAGAGGTTCTAACAGTGGCATAAATCAAGTTACAGAGGGAAGGTAGTTCTTAAAATAAAAGGCTTATTGACTAGCACTTTGTCTATTATAGTATAAAGGTTAGGAACCACAAGATGTAGAGGCTCAACTATGTCATTTATTGTTCTTAAGTCCTGGACCAAATTCCATCTACCACTGGGTTGTTTTACAGCTCAGAAATCCACATGCAAGGCAGAGGTGAAGTAAGGAACTGCTTATGAGGTTTTCCATCAATTCCAACAACTAAGAAATAATGAGAAGAGTTGGGACTTCAGAAGGCTTTTAGGACCAAAGAATAGGCTCTTGTGTCCAGGAGAAAATGAATATACTTACCAGTAATGTTAATGCTCACCCATGGCTCTTTTGGGTGGATCTGAATCGTTGAAGATTGTTCAGTTTCTTAAAGCAACCCCTCACTTGGCAGGATTCATGCCCTGTTTTGCAAACCGAATTTTCCCATGCAGGAAGACATCCCATTTTCTGCATTGAGGACAGCCATTGCCTAGCATCCGGCCTCAGCCCAGGAAGTTCACAGGTCTCCGCCCTCAGACAGAGAAGGCACACAGGTGGCTAAGGCAGGTGTACTGCAGCTTTGTACTTTCCACCCCACCATCCAGCTGGCCTCCCACTGCACTTGGACCTTTTGAATTTCCTGCCTGTGCGGGCTCCTCAGGGTGGACTTGAGAGCCCTGGGTGGGAGCAGAGGGGCTATGTGTCCCTCATTCAGACCAGACAGATCTGATCGGTCCCCTGGGCGAACCTGTGGAGCTGGACAGTGTGCATCTGCGTCTGCACTGCCCTGGCTCCTGGCTTCACCTGTGGCAGGCACCTCATAACCTGTCATGCGGGCAGTACTCCTCGCCCACCTTGAACTTGGCTATAGTTGTTATTAGGTGCTGTCAAGTTGAGTGTGACACATAGCAACCCAATGAACAACAGATCTCAACCCTCTCTTACCTTGTACCGTCTTCATCAACTTTGCCACAGGGGAGCCCTTTGGTGCAGTCACTGTGTGAATCCATCTCATAGAAAGTCTTCCTCTCTTTCTACTGAGCCTCCACCTTTCCAAGAATAATGTCCCTCTCCAAGGAATAACCTCTCCCAGCCACATGCCAGGGTGGCTGCCCGCCAAACACACCATGGACCTGTTGAATGGCTTTTCTATCTTTGGATGCCTCCTAGATCGTTGAAGATTTTGCCCATAGCATCTCTCAGTATTGCAACTCGCTTGTTTTTCAGTTATTGCAACTTGAGAAATGCCCTAGTGAGATCTTCTCTTTTTCTCTCCAACTTTAGCCCTATGCATATATCACTGTAATACTTTTGTTTTGTCTTCTCTAGCTCCAGCTGCATTTTAAAATCTATTCTGCTCTTTTACTTTGGCATCTCCTCCTTTTGTTTAGGCTTCTTGACACTTGTAGTGCAATTTTCAGATTCTCTTCTGACATCGATTTTAGTTTTTTCTTTGTCCTTTGTCTTTGTACTGAATGACCTTTTGCTTTCTTTATAGAGAATATCCTTGAACTCCTACAACTCCTCCGATCTTTGATCAGGTCTGTGCTTGCATTGTGGGAACTCCATACTCCACCCTCTGCTCAGCCCTCCACCCAGTTCTGACTAAATATATGTAGGCATACATCCACAACAAGGAACTCCACCAATCTAAGGCCCTACCACTAAATGTCCAAGAGCAAACACAGTGTTCAGTTATATTTTGATAAGAGGAATACTGTCAAACTTGATCTGCAACTTCTTGACCGTGGCATATGCTTTTACTATGTAAATCTAATCAAAAGGGCAATCTCCTCCTGTGTGATTAATTGCCTCTGAAAACTTGGGCTCAGCTATGGGTCAGTTTCAACTCGACAGTAAACAACACACAATCAAATGTAATGTTTGGGGGACTGTTGAATTTTAGTAAACAAGACCAAAATTGACTTCTGGAAATATCTTTTTTTTTTTTTTTTTTAAATTTTATTACTCTTGTGTGAGTGTACCATCAAATCAGATCTGACTGGTACAGGAGGAGATTGTCCCTCCTTCCCCGGCAGAGCATCTGGTGGATTCGAACCGTGTGCCTCTGGGATTGTAGTTGCAGCTCCTTGTAGTTGTAGTTCCTTAAGGAAGTAGAAATATCTTGAGAAATGGGCACACTATGCTGGAACTTCCTACACAATTCCGTGGTTGCATAGTTTGTAGAAAGTTGTGTTGCTAAGCCAGAGATGTTTTCTGGTGGTTCAGGTTGATCCGCAGATCCTTAGGAGAAAGATGGGCAATCTCTTCCCATAGAATTTATTACCTCCTAACAACCTACTGGAGGGCCAGTTCCACACAGTGTAAGTTTGTGTATGTACACAGATGTACTATTTGTGAATAAATGTGGTAACTAGATGGAATCAACATGATAGCAGTGGGTTTTGTGATTAAATAACTGAGTTCTCACAGATTCTTCACCATAAATCAGTTGAGAAGTCTTGCCATTTTCTGTCCTAAGTTACCAAAAGGCCCATGATAAGCAGAAGCAATGCTAATGTACAGATAGAGTGGGAGATGGTACCTTAAGAATTTGATAATAAGATCTAAATTAGGTACAGTATTATACCTAACTAGTCGTTGTCCTTGGTTTCAGGGCCACTTTGTAAAAAATTTAGGTGATGTTGGAGATAAGGAAACAGAAACAGAAGTCTTGTTACTTGAGCATGATGTTCCCCATCAGCCCTTTTCTCAGGCCGTTCTTAGCTTTCTGCCGAAAATGCCGTGGAGTATTACTGAGGAGGTAAGTGGAAAAAAATTCTTTATGACTCAATAAAAGTTCTACTTGGGCTTTTAAATATGTAGAAGCCACAGTTTTCTTCTCTGTATTTAGCACTCTTGAATACCACAGAAACAATTTGCTCCTTTGTTCAGAGAAAGTTTTCTGGAGAGCAGATACTAGGATACATCAGACTATTTTTTTTTTCTTTTCTTCTCCCTGCCTCTTTTTAAACAGCCCCTCTGTAAGGACTATCCACTTAGCTTTGTATCCAAAGATGAAATTTGTAGGTGAAAGGAGTTAGGAGTTAGCCGTCGTTACAGACATCAGACTATTTTAACGTGAGTAAACTACTAGTTAAAATTCATGTGTGCTTATCGTTAAGGAAGTAGGGCTAGGCATTTTCTTTATAAATAGATTATGTGTTGATTTCATTGGGTTTTAAAAAAATAGATTATGTGTTGATTTAATAAAAATTCCATTGCAATAGTACTATCAGGTGTATCTGTATAATTTATCTTCTAGGATATGAAAAACCGAGAAGACCTGAGGCATCTGTGTGTTTGCAGTGTGGACCCACCAGGATGTACTGATATCGATGATGCTCTACATTGTAGAGAACTTGAAAATGGAAATTTAGAGGTACTGGCTTTCTTATCTAAAAGTATTTGTTTATGAATTCATTTCCTTTGAGCAGGTACAGATTTCTGTTGGTGATTATTTATGCCAGGTTTAGCTAGTAATAGCTGCAAGAGCTGCTAAGGCATGCAGTAGAGGTCGAAATGGGAGGTCTGAATGAATCTTTTCACACTTAAGGTAAATTTCTTCTCTTCGAACTCCGTTAATGGATTTAACTCAGTCAAGCATATTGACATGGTTTTATTTTTATATTTTTAAGGTTGGTGTTCATATTGCTGATGTTAGTCATTTTATTAGGCCCGGAAATGCTTTGGATCAAGAATCAGCAAGAAGAGGAACAACTGTGTACCTTTGTGAAAAGGCAAGTAATGTCTCCAATTTTAACTGGAATTTTAATACATACATTTTAAAAATCATACGCTTTATTTTATAACTTTTTACAGAATATATAAAGCATATACACCAACGCCAGCAAAATATATCAGTTGACTTCTCTGTGTATAATTCTATGAAATTAATTGCATTCTTTAAGCAGCACAGGCAGCCTCATTATTTTTCAATTGTTTTTCCACCATTAGCTTCAACTCAGTGCTCCTAAAGTTCCTCTGAGTTGCTGTTTCGTTAATTTGATTTCATAATTAATATGCTCTCAAAAGAGCATAATGCTATAGGCATATACTATTTCTAGTTAACCTAACAATTGTTTGGTTTTAAGAAAACTTTTGGGAGTTATTTTTTGTTTAAATTTTATCTTAGGGCAATAGTCAGAGGTTTCTCCACCTTCCGTGGCTCCAGAAAGTTGGAGAATGTACAACCTTAAAATGCTGGTGTGTACTTTCCCCCTTTTGATCAAGATTATTCTATGGAATCTTTGAACAAAATGATCATTGATGTGTCTAGTTGCCATCCGTTTCTTCTGGTCTCATGGCAAAAGAAGCGGTTCCTGTTGAGAGCCACTTGCCATTTCTCCTCCTGTTCCTGACTCTCCTTCCTCTCTTTCATTTAGCAAGTAGAGACCAATTAATTGTGCCTTGGATGGCTGCCTGTGAGCTTTTTAAGAGACCCTCAAGCACTATACAAGGTGAAAGAGAAACCCTGAATACGTTATTAGACCATGAAATCATGACCCTAAACCTGTATATGAATATACAGTATTTTTAATATTAAATGGTTTCTGAGGAAAGAACCACCTCAGAGCTTAATGATATTTAGACGATACCTATTTTTTTTTTTATTGGGCACAACCAACTTGTAACTGTCATCAAGGCAAAATTTGAACAGTCATAGTTTGAGATTGTTGTTGTTATTAAGTGCCATCGAGTCGTAGGTGACTCATAGCAACCCTATGAACGAAAGTCCTCGACAGTTGTGTGACTTTTATCCTTTCCCCATGTTCGTAGGGTTTCCCGAGGCAAGCTATTTCTGGAAGTGTATGCTATTCCTGCTTCCAAGCTTGTTTTAGCCAGGGAATGCCACCAAACACTGTCCGCCATGGATAACCATTATCGCATCTGACATGTCATTGTCACAGTGTTCAGCTTCACAGCAACCACAAGTTGTCTCTGTATGGCAAGTGAACACACAAGGGCTATATAACCTAGAAGAATGTTTCACCAAAAATAATTAAAGACAGGCCTTAGGGTTAGAGTCACCCACCTGTGGCTTGGTAGCATTGCTTCTGGTCCAATAGGTCAGCTGGTCTCTCTCTCTATGTTGTTAAGTGCCATTGAATCGTAGGTGATTCATAGCGACCCTATGAATGAAAGTCCTCAACAGTTGCGTGACTTTCATCCTTTCCCCTGGTTCATAGGGTTTCCCAAGGCAAGCTATTACAAAGTGGATGCCATTCCTGATTCCAAGCTTGTTTTAGCTGGGGAGCTAAAATTTGATACATTGTATCAAATAACTTAAAATCAGTTATACTATAAATTGAGTGATTATTGGGTGCAGGAAATAACAAATTGATGTGGTTGGTGGAAAGTATTGTTTGGTATATAACTCACTATTTATGTAGAACTGAAACAGAATAGATTCATGATTTAATCTTTATAAAATATTAAAAGTACATTTTAGCTAGATGGGCAGGATACTGAGTTTTATTATTCTATACATATAATTGGCAGGATACTGAGTTTTATTATTCTATACATATAATTTCCATAAATATTTTATTTCCTTTTTATCTTATGATAATATTTTTAATTTGCATTAAATTTTATAAATCACATTAGTTTTACATTCATCCTGACATATTTTGTGTTACATTACTTACAATTGATTATTCAATTACAATACCTGATCACCCTTTTATTGTATATTGTCTTTCTCTTCAAGTTATTATTGATTAATCTATGTTCATCTAGTTATTATCTATTAATTTTTACTTCTCTCATTCTTGTAGCCACCCGTGAAAGCTGCTATATGGAAACCTTTCCTTAGCTTTTTATATTAATTGTATTTATAATTCCTATAAACCTACAGAGGAAATTTGTGAAAGTAGAGACCAAATTTAAGTGTATATTGTTATGGATACATTGTCAGTTTTTTCCCGTAAGAATATAGTCTTTTTCACAATTTTGGAAACACCATGTAGTAATCATTTGGAAAAGGTCCAACTATAGAGCTTGGATAGCTATGACAACTAATTTCAGACCAGAGATTTCAGCCTTTTCAAAGGACACAAAAGTGTGGAGATAGGACTAAAACTTAGGTCCATTGGTAAATCCAATTTTCTTCCACTTCATAGCATTTATATAAGTACTTCTCTAGAAACTATTATCTCACATTTTCTCAATTGTCTTGGTCACAAAGATTAAAATACTTTTGTTTCCTTATTCAATACTGTTTGAGATTTAGAACTTCAAGAATGAAGTCATAACTGAGCAATGTGTTTCTCTGTTTTATGTTACAGAGAATTGACATGGTTCCAGAGTTGCTTAGCTCTAACTTGTGTTCCTTAAGATGTGATGTGGACAGGTATTTATGCAAGCTTTTTCATAAGAACGTTGTATTTGCTGCTTTCCTTAATTCTCTTTAACAAATACTGTATTTTCCTTCTCATAGGCTGGCATTTTCATGTATTTGGGAAATGAATCACAGCGCTGATATCTTAAAAACAAGGTTTACCAAAAGTGTCATTAATTCAAAGGTTTGCTTTCATGGTTAATCTTTATTGGTTAAAATCTTTGGTATTTACTATAGTTTTCTAGATTACTTCGGGAAAAAAAAATAAACTTACTAAATGGGTTTGGGTTTTTTCCCTCCATTATCTGATGAATTAATTCTTAGAATTATTAAAAAATTTCTTCATTGGCAGTTGCCTTCATTCATAAGTTTAGAAGACTCGCATACTAGAGGAGACTAAATGGATAGCTTGAGATTCTTACCACAGATATCTCTATGATTGAAGCTGTACCACTTTAGAAATGATTGTGTTTTAAGAGTTAAGGTATACAGTTTTGTACTGTTTATATTTTCGAATGGAAATAATGTTATAAGTCATAGTTGAAGTTTAATTAAGTTAGCTGAGAATTATGTTTAGACTGAATGAAACCAGTTGTGTTTTCTCTTCCTTTTAGTACTTCTCCCTTTTAATATTATTTCTTCTGCTTGGGGGTGGGGAGAATGTTAGACTGATAGATAATGATTAATGTTTCAGTGGGTTAAGCCTTCTGAGAAAGTACTTAATTTTAAAAAATTTTTTTAAAAAAGTACTTAATTTTAGGTTTTCAGTAGATTATCTGCCAAAAAGGATGCAAAGAATCTCACTTTACCATTATTATCTGAGAATACATCTAATTTGTCTAATTTATCTTCATATTTCATTTTAGCATTGACTGCTTATATGTATGTTAATTAGAATATAAAATTATTAAAGCTTAAGCTATTCAAATAAAAATGCTATTTTACTTTATTTGAACATACATGTGTGATACATGCTTCAGAGAAAAGTTGAAATGATAAAAATGATATGTGAAGTTTAAATTATATAGTTCAGAAATCTTTTATCGATTTTAGGTTTCAGAAATAAGGGAGAGTATGTAGTGGAAGTACAAGCATATTGCCATTTTATCATGTATAAGCTTCCTGTTATATTATTTTCTCTTTTAGGCTTCTCTTACATATGCAGAAGCTCAGATGAGAATTGACTCAGCAACCATGAACGATGATATAACCACAAGTCTACGTGGGTTAAATAAACTAGCTAAAATTCTGAAAAAGCGAAGAATCGAAAAAGGGTACATTTCAGAAGTCTCTATGTGTCACTTAATCATTTATAAGATAATTTAAAGTGTTTTGAGATTATCTGAAAATAGTTTTATCATGAACAATGGGGAATTTAGTGAAAAGGAGATTCGAGAGACATCCAGTTTTTTCTGGTTCCCATTTAAATATCAGCAGCTTGATTATAAACTGGTTCACATCTCTAAGTTCAGTCTTTGCAATTTATTGTGCTACAAACAAATGTTTGAGTTTAATATCTTGAAGAAATGGCAGAAAGATAAAAATTGCCTAAAGACTTTTCTGTGAATTGTTCACTAGAAGCTAATTTCCAGATTGAACACTATTTTTTAGATGTTTCAATGTAGATGATGTCCTTTATTATAGAACAAGACAAGATTCTGGTGTTTAATCCAGTCTCTGTTTTTCTAACAATCAGAAAGTTAAGTTGAGTAGTCTCCCCATAGCTCTTTGGGTCTTTTAGCTATTTATTATATCCTGGTATTTGCTTAACTACAAAAGATACACAGTAAAGAGCACTAACTCCTACTTGTACCTTAATCAACTTACAAATAGAAACATACTCAGTTCTTCTATTTTTTTTTTTTATTCCTATAATTACGGGATTCATTAATGTAATAACAGGTTACAATTCGGGTTGGAAACAAGATACAATTCTTCAGTCAAGACAGTTTCTCAGCTAGTCTTCCCCTGGGCCAGTGTTATGCAGCTCTTTCAGTACTGCCAGTCACGGCCACTATCCACTATCCCTCCGCTAGGAAACCTAGCTGAAGACCCTCAGCTCTGGCTACACTGTGCTACAGTTCTCGTTGAGCTCTCTCACACATTGGTCTCTGGTTCTCCACCACCTCCGATGCTGGTGGTCTGGTCTGGGTTGCATCTAGAGCAAGAATTCTGGCTCAAAAGGACAGGCTGCACTCGGTCTGCTCTTTGTTGAGGTAGCAAGAGTCTCTAAAAAATTTCCTCATGATCACATTCCTGAAGAGATAAATTTATGTGAGCCTTTCACATGTTCTTTAGTCTCTGGGCCGAAAGCAGTTACTAAATATGTTTTCCTTGGATGATGCCAACTCTGGACCTTTGCTATTTCATAATGTGTAAGCTACATAAATGAAATTTAAAAAGAAGTCCTTCATGTGCACTAACCACATTTGTAATGTTCAGTAGCCACAAAGGGGCTGCCATACTGGATCAGGAAGTTATGGAACATGTTTGTCATTGCAGGTAGTGCGGGTTTAGGCAGTTAGCCTGAGCCAGCCTGTCTCCACTCTTTCTCCATTTTTCTGGAGATATCACATATGCTCCCAAATATGAACCTTGAACTTGTGTATAGATTATTTGATTGCAGTAAAACCTAATGAGAGTTCATTGAACCACAGCAAAACTGTTCCTCAAGGTTGTACATCTATGTTAAAAAAGTTAACATAATTAGATGTTTAGCAAGCTCTGATAGTGTGGTCTCTTGGGAGTTGCACTGCTAACATAAAGGTGACGCTTCTCTGCCAGTTCCAGCCCATGAGTTTCTCCATGGGAGAGAAATGGGCTGGCTCTACTCATGTGACTTGAAGCCTCTGCAGAGCTACAAGTCAGTTGCTTCTGTCTTGATGGTAAGGAGTTTGAGTTGTGAGGTTTTTAATGTTTTGTATGCTATGCTGAATTAATTACCCAGAATTTATGTATTTCTTTGCTGGTCAAGTAGAATGAAAAGTAATTTTTCCTTAGAGTATATGAAAAGAGGAACATACATATGACCCATGAAATGGTACATTAGCCAACAAATACTTGTTTATAACATTTAGCATAATACTTTAGCTGACACACAGATTTAAAATATGGGTAACCATCATTATTTGTAACATGTGATTATAGTGTATGTTGGCTGAATCAACATGAAAGATGCTTTTGAACAGTGGGGCTTTTGATGTCACTGTTCTACACATGGCAGCTATCCTTTTTACCTCTTCTTTCCTTCCACCAACCAAATATGCTATTTTAATTGTTGGTGTTATGTGCTATCGAGTCAGAACCAGCATATTTCATAGCTTACCCTCCAGTGGGTTTTCAGAGGCTGTAAGTCACTTGGGAGTAGAGTGCTCATCTTTCTCCCGCAGAACAGCTAGTAGATTGGAACCCCCTGCCTTTGGATTGACAGCACAAGGTCACCAGAGCACCCTGTTTTACTGTTGTTGTTTTATGCCATCACTGATAGCTGACACTCCCGTGGGTTTTCAGAGGCAGTCAGTTTCATGTGAAGAGATTGTCCATCCTTCTTCTGGAGAGCAGCTGGTGGATTCGAACCACATGCCATTGGGATTATAGCACAGTTTCTTAACACTAAGCCACCAGAGCTCCCTGTGTTACTGCATATAAAATACTGATACTCAGCTTTATTTTTTTAAGAGTGATTTCAAACACATGTAGTTCAGTAAAGATTCATAATTGGGTTACAGAAGATATTCAGACTGAGCCCAGGGACACAATTTTTGTTGTGTTGCTGTTGCTTTTTAAAAAAACTGCATTTAAAAAAAAAATCCTCAGCCTTACTGCTGTCGAGTCAGAACGAACTCATTTAACCCTCTAGGGGGTTACTGGAGCTACAAAATAGCATGGGAGGAAATTTCCCATCTTTTTCCTACAAAGCCCCTGGTGGATTTATACTGGCAGAGGGACACCACCTTAGGTTAGCAGCTCCCTACAGACTGTGTCATCAGAACTCCCTTAAAATACATTTAAGAAAAAAAATGCATTTAAGATTGTAAAAATAATAACGTATTTACAAAGGCCCAGGAAAATGTAGCAGACAGTCATAAAGCTTTTAGAAGCACAAAGGTAATACTTGTCATACTTTGAAGGAAATATTTCCAGATTTCTGTCTGCTACTGACTAACTTTCTAATTACCTCTTTAATTTTTATTTAGGGCTTTAACTCTCTCTTCTCCGGAAGTTCGATTCCACATGGACAGTGAGACTCATGATCCTATAGATCTGCAGACCAAGGAACTTAGGTAGGTCATTTTGGGATTTGTGTGGTGAATACGATTCTGTCATTAAATGTAATGTCTGGTGTATATATATGCACGTGCGTATACATTTATATATGTATAAAGCTTCTTCCATTGTTACCACCTTCCTTCCTTCCTTCCTTTGTGATTTAATTTGAAATAATTGACCATTCCTAAATGCAGTAAGTAACAATATTAATCTAAGCTAGATAAGTGTAGAAGAACTATCCTGTTCACTAGATAATGTGTCTACTCAGCTCTGATGTGTATAAACTTGCTTGATAGTTTGGTCCTTCAGACCTAATAGCCACAGGACTTGGCTCAGAAGCAGCAAGAGAAGTGCCTGTAAAGAAGTGGGTTTGAGGTTGACATAGGATAGGGCAAAATTTAGATCCGTTGTTCATAGGGTTGCTGTGAGATAAAGTTGACTTGATGGCATCTAATGACAGTGGTGGTGTTGTGCACTGTCAAGTGAGAACCAACTCATTGCTGACCCTCCAGCATGTTTTCAGAGACAGTAAATAGCACAGGGGGAAATTGTTGGTCCTTCGCGCGTGGCACAGCTAAGTACCTGTGGGGTCGCAGTGCAGCTTACTCTCACTAGGCCACCAAAGCTCACCTTAACAGCAGTGGAGAGAGCCATTTTTCCCTAAAGACCTAAAAGAGTAAAGAGTGTGATTTCTGTAGATTTTCTTCACTTAGAGAATGTATAGAAAAGTAAAGGTGATTTCATTTTCTTTAAATATATGTATAGATAACTAGAATCAGTATTAGAGTATTTTTCACTTGAATTTATTGTCTTGATGAATAGACTTTCACATGACTATTAATAGTTAAGGTGAGTAAAAGAAGACTGCAGATCAATTGTTCAAGTATTTACTGTAGAATATACCTTTATTTTAATTGTTTATGATCAAACATTCTTCTAAGCGGTATAGCACTGGTTTGTCCATTTGCTGTGCAGAGGTAACTCATGGTTGCTATGATACTAAACACTGTGACACTGATGTGTCAAATGTGATAACGGTTACCCATGGTGGACAGTGTTTGGTGTAGCTCTCCAATTAAAACAAGTTTGGAAGCAGGAGTGGCATCCACTTCCAAAATGGCTTGCCTCCAGAAACTATGAACTTTGAACCGGCACTTAACAACAACAACATACCTTCATAGTACAGGAGAATTATCAAGTCCCTGAGCTTTGAATGGAGGCTGCCTATGTTTGGATCACACTTAGGCTACTCAACTGCTAGAAATCCCAGACAAGTTACCTGTGCCATGATGGCACAGTGGTTAAGCGCTCAGATGCTATTCGGAAGGTCAGAGGTTCAAACCCTTTATTCCCCAGGATCACTAACCTGCCACCAACCTTTAATTAACTGCTCAGTGTGTTGCACATTATGCTACTAGAGTCCCATCATACATGATTATATACTACATTTTAATGTTAAATAAAATATACATATATGTGAAATACACATCTATATGGATACGTAAATAAATATTTCAACATTTGGACTTCAGTAAGCACCATTTGCTATTGTTCTAATCATTTATTGGTGAAAAATGTTGACTGTGTAGTCTAAATTTGTATGGCCTAAAGGGTTGGCTCTTCCTTTTCTTTGGTCAACTTTTTTTTAAATTGTAATTGTTGATTTAAAGTTCAAGAAACTTATCTATGGATTGGATCCATTAAAAAGAAGTGGAAATGCTTAGGCTGGAGAGTACACACGCTCCTGGAGCTAACAAGGCTTCTGTTTTTGAATGCCAATTGGAAAGCCTCTTCACACATGAAATTTACTCCCACAATAAGTACTCAATAGTAATGGTTAGCAAAGTAGTTGAGGAAAGAAAGAGCCAAAATTATTAAAAATACACATAGGAATTGCATCTATCACCTGTGGAGCTCAGGTGACCTAGTTGTAAGTCACTGCACTGCCAACTTAAAAGCATACGGTTCTAATTCACCAGCTGCTCCATGGAGAAAGATGGTAGGCTCTTCCCGTGCACTGCACTGCTTCTGAAAACATACTAGAAGGGCTGCTATGAGTCGGTTCTAATGTACTGTTACAGAGCAACACCCTAATTAGTCAAACAGTAACATGTAAATAAATGAAAAATGTACGTCTCAGATTCTCTTTCCTTATTCAAATCTTCTTCCATTGTCAGAGAAACAAATTCTATGGTGGAAGAATTTATGTTACTTGCCAATATCTCTGTTGCCAAAAAAATCCATGAAGAATTTTCTGAACATGCTTTGCTTCGAAAACATCCTGCTCCTCCTCCATCAAATTATGAAATTCTTGTTAAAGCAGCAAAGTCCAAGGTGAGCTCCTATAGTTTCAAAAATTACCTATAATTGTGTTGTGATCTGCCCATTGTATTGAATAGTTTATATCCACCGCTTAAAGAGTTTATTGTTTCCAGAGGTGGGGATAAAAACCCCCACTAGTACTTCTGATAAGAAAATATTTAACTATTTAGATAAAGTTATTCTACGTAATAAAATTATTTAATGTTATTTCCACCTCAACTCAGGCCACCCTACCTTCTGTTAAAGCCAGATGTTCTACACCAAGTTACTTACAGTTCCTGGAAATATTAAACTCTTCTGTATCTGCATACCTTTGCACACATTTCTTATGTCTGGTTTTGGTGTTTGTTTGTTTGTTTGGTGTGTTTTTTAATGGCTTTTGTGAAATGCCTAACTTCAGAGATTTACACAGATAGTTTCTCATTCCTTGCTCCAAGTTTTATATTATAAATTGAGTTGTGGGGTTGTTTCTCCCCCCTGCTATCTTAGATGAAGCACTTTTAGCTTATTCTGTAAGGAAGACTTTCCTGTAGCAATGAGGAATACTTTTTATGAATGCATATTTTTATAATGGAAGAAGATCCAGAGAATGATTGATCAGCTGATAGCGTAGTAGGAAGGTGTTGTGTGCGTGGGGAGGTAGACTGAATCAGTGTTTTGTAAACCTTGTTTATCAGACTCTCTGGAGCTTTGTAGAAAGACTTTCTCCTGGAAAAGAGTGTGAACAAGGTCTAAATTTGGACCATATAAACTGTTAAGAAATTCTCCACAGTATTTGTAATGTAATTTTTAGTCTATGTTTTTGTTGACTTTGGTTTAGTTTTTAAATTTTAAAAGGAAAACAAAAGACATTCAGAGGGAATGTCTAAAGTACATGATTTCTTTTCTTCTGGGTCAAAATAACCAGTGATTCTTACATCACAGTAACTGAGTAGCTTGCATAGTACCTCACCTCAGTGTCAGCTGACAAAGCATGCGTGTGTGCCCATTTGTGTGTGCGCACAGCTGAGGAGAGAGGGGACTTCAGTGCTGGGCTAGGATGGTGCTAGACCAGAGAAGGACTATTAATTTCAAATCTGAAGGAGCCTCATAGACCATAAGAGTCTAGGCTTTTTACGAAAGAGCAGAACTTCACTTCTGCTGAAGCTGAAGGTGTTCTTGCTCTAAAATCTGCTTCTAAGATATACATACCTAGGAGAAATGAGTGCTGACATTTACCAGCAGGTATGTCTGAGACCGGCAGCTTCAGTCACAGCAGCTAAAAAGTATGAACACCTTATGTATTCCACAGGAAATTTAGATGAATTGTGGTTACAGTAGAAAAGATGCTTGTCAGAAATGAAAAAGAAGTTAAACAAGGGAGGCCTAGGGTGAGGATGTGTCGTGTGGAAGGCCTGTGGGGTCAGGAGTGCGAGTGCAAGTGGAAGTTTGAGCTGGGTGCTAGAAGAGTGCATGCGCCCACCCGTGCACATCTCTCCCTTCCTGCACCTTGATATCAACGCGTGAGTCAGCCCCACCAGGCAAAAAAACAACAACAAAACAAATACACATACTTGTGATGCACCATTTGCCCAAATCTCAGACAATATTAAGTGGAAAAAGGTGCAGTAGTATGTATTGGAGGATAGGATTTTGACGCTGTGTCTCACATACTTTGGGCACGTGGTAGGAGGGACAAGTCCTTGGAAAAGGACATGCTCTTAAGGGTGGAGGGACAGCGCAGGAGATGAAGACACTGGATGAGATAGCGTGACACAGTTAACGGGTAATTAGGGTTGTATTGTTGTGAGTCGCAGATGACTCGAAGCACAGAGCAGCGACAAGGTTATATGTAATATTTTTCCATTTATGTGAAATGAAGAAGAGGTCTGATGTGTTAGGTTATCTCTGCCTACAGAGGGCATCTTTAGTGGGTTTTATTTTTTGACTTCGCACACACCAAAGCAAACTTTCTGAGGAACCAGTGATAATTCTTGATGTGAGTGCTGGTATTTATTTATGCAAAAATGTCTTGAGCTGTGTGTGCTCCACTTAATGCTCTTTACTGTACATTATGCCTCTGTTTTTTTAAAAGAAAAAATTGAATGCCATCAAAGGCTTTTAAGAGTGGCAGACAATTGCTGCAATCTAGAGAGATTGATTAGAAGAGGTGAGAATGAGTACAGTGAAACCAGCAGGAAATTAAACACAGCTTAGTTTAGAGATGGTTAGTGGTCTTAACTAGGAAGAAGGCGGTAGTGAGGAAGAAGGAAAGTGGTTGGACTATCCTGGGAAGTAGAATAGCCAACATCTGATGAATGTAGAAAGTAGGGACACAAAAGTATTGAAGGGGACTCCCACATTTTCTGGCATGGTGAATCACTTTGCCACTTATTTACAGTGAATATAAAGGAAGTCGTTTGGGGGCTACTATTATATATTCACTTTCAAACATACTGAGTTTGAGTACAGAGAGGGTATTTAACTGGAAATTACTTAGTAAAAGATTGGGTATAACAACCAGGAAGTAGGAAAGGAATTGGCCTATATGATATAGAAATGAGCTCAGCTATGCAGAGACGAAACATACATATACATACTTGGATCAGCATGGGTAAATAGCTATTTTAAATGTCCATGTCCCACAAACTTTGATACTTGATTATCAAGTTCTAGAGAATTCTGTAAGAGTATGTGGGTAGAAAGAACATTAAATGAGTGATGAATGTAATTAGAATAATTGATTGTACTTCAGGACATCTATTGATGACAAAGGAACAGTGTTTGGGAACTATCAAATAATATAATAGATGCATTGATCATAGTACAGTTGTTTGTCAGATAGTTTTTATGTCAGACAAGTTTCTTTTCCCCTACAAGAATTGAAATAATTATGTTTTCATTTATTAAATTTATTAAGAGTTCATGATTTAGCATTTGGATTTCCCTTTGACTTTAAGTAAATTTTAGATGTATTTTAAAAAGAAACTTTAGGGTTGCTGGAAAAAAATCATTAACTTTTCAACGATCTTTAGTTCTTAGGATGACTGCTTGGTCAGAAACACAGTATTTATTCAGTCTGATAGGCTATAGACAAGCAGGGCTTGATTTTAAAATATCTAATACAGTGCTTTTCTCCTCCTTTTACCTGTAGAATCTGGAAATCAGAACCGACACAGCAAAGTCTTTGGCTGACTCTTTGGACCAGGCCGAATCTCCCATTTTCCCTTATCTAAACACTCTGTTA